AAATTTCATGGCATAAAAAAGTATGTCCAAAAAGAACTATAATTCACATGTTGTCGTGGTGCGAAATGAAAACTATGCGAATTCCTAAAAAACTTATTGCATATTTGAAATCAACATACGAGCCTATGTATACAGCAGAAAATTTTGTTTGCCTAGGCTACAGATTAAAGAAACTATATTTTCGAGTAGCATCTCCCTATAGCCTCTTCAGACCTGAGGAAAAACTAGCCAGGGTAAACTCTAATAAACTCTTTATTGCAACCATTGGAAAGCCCCGAAACACTTTTCGGAAGAAGAAAAAACGAAAACTGTAATTTCAGACGAGAAATCGGCTGTACCCATTTGGGTACAACAGGCCTAACATGAGTGAAAGTCAAGAAAGCAGTTTCTGTTGAGAAGGCAAAGAAACAGGTCACATTTAGTGCGTCTAACGCGTGTTTTTCCCCTGCAACCTTGATTGCGGCATCTCATCTGAGACTTTAAGGGCACATGCTCTGGAAAATGCCCGTACTTGTCCAATCGGACCTCACTTGGCGGCATGGAAGTCACCTTGGTACGTTTAGGGAGTGCAGCAGTCTCGCCAATTTCAAGATCCTGCTCTACTTCGTTTACGGCTTCTTGCATTTCGTCGACGTGGGCGCGAATTAGCGTTTCCGCAACTCGGTTCTTAAACACGAATTGATCGAGAATATCTTTTGCTGCAACGTCCATGAGTTTGCAGTCATTCCTGTATTCAATCCAGGCATTTGCAACCGCTAGGTCTAGAAAGTGGGCAAATACCCTAATGGTCCACTTCTTCGTACGTATTTTTGTCCTGTAATAGGACACATATCTGTCCGCAAGATCAACACCGCCCATGTTTTTGTTGTATATTTTGATGCAGTGCGGCTGCGGCACATCTACTTTCTTCCTCTCTTCCTTCGACCATCTTCTGCAAGTGCCTTCTGGAGTGATGCCGCAGGCAGTCGAAAGAATCATGACTGATTTTCGATCCTTCCACTTCGTGAGACAAATTTCTCCATCACTGCGGACAACGCAGCATGATTCGCCTCGTTTCATGTTCTTTTCGTTTGGAAGCTTTGGTGCCGCATCTCCAGTTCTGTTTGCCATAATTGTACCGGTAAGATGTGCATTCCTTCGGAGAAGGTATTCGGCAAGCTTCAAACCTGTAAAAAAACGGTCTGTGAACACATGAACTGGTTGTTCTTCCGGCACTGTATGCAGAAGACGCTTCACTATTGCCCCGCCAAGACCAAGTTCTTTCGTATCGGCTTCAGGAACAGTTCCTTTACCTGTGTAGATGACGAAATCTAACACAAGTCCATCAGAACTGGACAAAACAAAGTTCTTAAGGCCGACGGGATTTGGTTTACTGGGCACGTATTGTCGGGCAGGACAACGTCCGCTGAATGGAATCATTTGTTCGTCGACAGATACTGCTTTTGGACGCGGTAGCTCGAGGCACGCTTTTCGAAATGACTCGATGATGGGTTCCGCTCTGAACAACTTGTTTTCAGTTTGTGCATCGGTTGTTTGGCTGAGGTCCACGAAGTGCAGCATACCACTTAACTCGAAGAATCGGTCGCGTGTCATGGTTTCTGTGACAAGAGGCACAGCCGATATGCGGGACCAGTAGAGTCTTGCTCTTGGGAGTCCGAGAAGGCCCATTAGCATGTGTATTCCGGCAAGTTTTTTCATTTCTGCCGGCGACGTTCGCACTGACCTGTGGTCACGCATCTGAACAGAATAGAGATTTGTTTGTTCTGCGCAGAGCTTCCAAAAGGGTTCCGGAAAATACTTCGCAAAGTAGGCAAACAGAGACATAGAAAACCTTGAGTGGACTTGGCACGGCGCAGAGTCCGAAGTGCACCTGAGAGGGAAGCTGCAACAAAAAGTACCAGTCACAAGGTAAACTCAATAGGCTGCAGTCAAATAATGCTGTTATCTTCAAAACAAATAACTGAAACGGAGCACGCACGCTGCCGCTTGCCAAATGGGGCCACGACCTTGACCATTGCGGCTAGCTGGCGTGTCATCTTTAACTTCATCATCATCGTCACTGCTGCTGCGTGGCTCATCCAGAACGTCGTCATCATCAGACAAGTCAATGTCGCTCTGAAAGAGTAGCTCTTGAATCTCCTCATCGCTGAGTAACTTGCCTGTAACAATCAACAGAGTCAAATTTATTTTCAACGTAACGACCTGAAGCACCAAATTGGGTACAGTTGTAAATAAGTTGCGCTATCTCTAAGGCAAGACGTAGGAACAGGCTGAAACTTTCCATGCTCCTTCTCTAATATATCCTGAACGTTAATATACAATATTTAAGAAAACATATGTAGTATTTAATGAATGAAAAAAAGTTAAACTCACCTGGTCGCTTGCGCGCGCTTTCTTTCCGTGACGCCGCCATACTCGTCTGTATTGCGAGAGCATACATGAACCTGCGACGACATCTCGTGGGGATTTTGTTAACTGATGCTTCCGCGTCCAGAAGAACCCATTTTCGCCTAGCGGTCTTCGACTATAGGAGCATAGCGCGCGTTTTTCAAATGTACCCATATGGGTACTCGCGGACTGAAGAGGTTAATGGCAGTGCTTTGCAGCTGTACAGGGAAGCTGCTTTTGAGGCAATGCGCCGGGACTGGTCAAGCTTTCCGTGAAACTTTGTGAAGACATGGAATCGTTGCAGTGCTGGTTATGCACGAGAAAATTTGCTTTATGTTGGAAGTAACCGTGTCAGTCTCCCTATTGTCTTGTTTGTCCCGCCGTAACTGAAGCACTAGTTTCGGTTTCAGTATTAAGTCGACCTGCCAACTAGCCTTCATACTTCCTTAAACTGGGTCGACCTGCAATTTTGTAAGTGTGGTATGTCACACCTACTCTCCCACGTCTAGATTTTTCTGTTTCCGATTTAAGTACAGTTACAGTAAAAGCTCGTTAATTCGGATTTCACGGGACCGGAAAAAACTGTCGGAATTAACCGAATGCCGAATTAACGAATGAAGAGGGAAAACAACATTTAAAATCAAGCTGCAGAAGCATACCTTTATTTGTTTAAGTATTTTGTAATTGTCTGCGTTTTCGCGCAGATTCCGTCTGACATCACAATTTTTCTTAACTGTTCCAAATGGCCAACAGCGCGCAAGCTGTCGGGAGTGTTCAGGCAAGCGTCCTCTAATATTAACAGCGCCTTTGAGACTTCCCGTGAGGTGCGATGAGGTCACGGCTGTATCTCCTCGCATGATTCTTTGTCGGAATCGTGGTCTTCATGGGCGCCCGTGACATCATTAATAATCTCTTGATCGGTCAGGAGACCACTCGGGGCGACACCATGATCAATCGCGATGTAGTCCTGAAAAGTCACATCTGTGGGAAGGACAGCATCGAAAGTCGGGCAGTCATCGTCGGTGGACTCGGCTGACACCTCCTCGATGCCATCGTTAGCTACTGCTGCATGCTCGGGCCTCACAAGACCGCTGTGCCGAAAACAGTTGGCGATGACTTGCGGCGGAGTGTTTTCCCACACGTGGGTGATGATGTGCACTGCGCCGAGTAAGTCCACTTAATACAGCTTTCCAGCTTCTAAACATAGGATCATTCACTCTAGCAGGTGCTTGCGGTACTTCGACTTCACGTAGTGAATGATAGATACCCTGGTCCATCGGCTGAAGAGCAGACGTAGTGTTGGGCGGCAAAAAAACTACTTTGATGCTCTTCAGTTCGAATGTACAGTTATGGGCACTGCAGTTGTCAACAACCATAATTATCTTGCGGTCCTTCGACGTGAAGTGCCGGTCCAACTGAGGCAGCCAGCCGCGAAAAATATCCGATGTCATCCATGCATTCCTGTTCGCTGTGTACTCGACAGGAAGGCTTTTGACTTTCTTAAAACAACGTGGCTTAAGCGCCTTCCCGACGACAAGTAGTGGCAAGCGCTCCATGCCAGTCATATTGGCAGCAAGAAGCACAGTTATCCTTTGCTTGCACTTCTTGCCACCAATGCACGCGTCCCCTTTGAATGTCACCGTCTTGTCGGGCAGAGCTCTGAAAAATAGAGCAGTTTCATCTGCACCGGACACGTCACGTGGTTCATATGCGGCGATGTGCTCCAGCAGTTTCACATTTCTCCACTCAATGGTCACGTTTTCGTCAACACTGGCCTTTTCGCCGCACACACTCCTGAAGACAAGTTCGTGTCTCTCTCGAAACCTCGCAAACCATTTTTCTGACGCTTTGAATGATTCAATGTTCATCATTGCAGCGTACTTCTCACCTTGCGCCATGATGAGAGGTCCGCTCAAAGGCAGATGCACGTTGCGACAGTCAGTCAGGGGGGGGGACTATCGTGTTTTCAGCATTATCAGCAAGATGGCGCAGTGCTTTCATCTCTTGAGCGCACTTTGGCCCGCGTAGAGAGTAAGGGGGTGTATGCTCGATCGTGTGCCCTTGTCTTGCAGTGGGCATAATTGTAGTACACGTCCTGGCTAGCCTTGTGGTTTTGTTGGAACGATTCTGTTCTAGTTACCGTGTGCACCAAGGTCATTGCACTCGTTGCACAGCCTTTGTTTGCAAACAAGGCGCGCTCTTCAGACATAGCGAAGTAACAACTGAGATGCTTATTCGCGTTCATCTCTACCTGTGAGTGCGTTTCGTGTGTCATTTGTACGTGGAAAACGTGGGGCACGTTTCGATCTGCTCGTCATTCTGCGCGTGACCTTCCCATTTGTTACTATCGCATTCATTGCTTCGCCTTTGCGGCAATGCAGCGACTTTTCTTTTTTTAGTTTCATTTTGAACAATAGTATGTCTTCACATTTCGTTCTGTCTTGTGAGGCACTACTATAATTATATTTATATATATATAATATATATGTATATAGCAACTGTGTTTTTTCTCGGTGAAAGCAGATTGACTAAATGAGACATTAACAAAAGTGTTGTGCCGCACTTGAACAGTTTCGAACCCTTCAATAACTTTTTATAATTTTCTTTTGCAGACATCTGCCCAGACATTGTAACCCTTGGCAAGCCTATTGGAAATGGCCATCCGATTGCCATGGTGGTGACCACGAAAGAAGTCGCAAGCAGATTTGAAGCCCAGGGTGCTGAGTACTTCAACACAGTGAGTTTATCTGAGGCTTCTTGCATGGAATTCTTGTTTTGCTTATGATATCAGCGTAGCGAAATTGGGAGCCTTCATTGAGACTTCAAAGGGGCACTGCAATGTTTTTTTGGTACGCCTTGTGTAAGGCTGGAGTGCATGCACGGTTGAATGCGAACACGGATGCAAAAATCGGAATTAGTGTATAGGAACTAAAGTTATTAGTCTTCGAATTTCAAAACCCCAGTCGACGATCGGAGGAAAACATTACCTTTCACATTTTATTGTGCCACCACGTCTGTGGTTTCATTGAGTCTGCACGTGGCACTTGCAGAAACTTAACAGGAAGTCTCTCCTCATGGTGGCCAATGACCAGTGCACTTACTATAAGCTTCTAATTGTTATCAAGGTTGCATTTTTAAAAATGGAAATGATTTTACATCTCTGACAGTATATAGCAGTGATGGAAGTGCTGCTCCAATTGCTCCAAAAGATATGCTGCTCGATGCTGCTCCAAAGTGCAATATTTGCTAGCTACTGCTCCAAGCCTGCTCTGAAAATTTGTTGGAAAACTAAAAAGAATGAAGTTGAATCATGGGACCATCCCGTGAGCCTAAGCAAAACCAAAAGCAAACCGTTACTAGTATGCTACTCAGTGGCGTAAATCCAGAAAAATCTCAAGGGGTGACAGATATCGGGCCATGGTGTCCAATTCATCTTATTAATTTGGGTTGTGTTTTTATTTATATGGGAGATAAGTCATGCTTTCAAATAAAATTTAGAAAACAGAGCATGGGGTCTGAGCTCGAACAATTGCATTGTTTTATTCAGTCTTTTTTTTTTTTCACCTTGTTTAGATTTCCATAGTTCGCACAGCTGAGGGGCATTTAACACAGGTAATAAAAAGCCTTTTAAAAAGTTGATTGTGGTATACTTAAATGTTAACTCAGTTATGTCACGTGCCGATTCTAAATCTCAATTGTGACTCTTGCAAGAGGTGCGCTCCGCAGCCTTAACACCACTAAAGTCCGGACTTTCTTGACCCCCCTCCCCCATGATTTATGCCAACTATACTCCTTGTACTAGCTGCTTACCAGGGTAAGGCATGTTTAATAATAAATGTAAGTATGTATTAGGTGCTCAAGTGATGTTTTAGACTGCAGGAGTCGTTGGGAACATGCATCTGTTCCGAAAACACCAAAAGCAACCCTAAGCTGTAGCACCTTTTTCTGCTCCGAAGACACTTAAGGCTACTCCAAAGCACCATTTTTTTCTGCTCCAGAATCTGCTCTGAAAAGCAAAATGTCGCTTCCATCACTGATATAGTCAAACCTCTTTATTATGTACCCGCTTGATGTATAAAGGTAGAAAAGTCACGTGTGGGGACACATCTTTGCCATGGCGGCCATCTTGTTTTTGTTAGTGTTGTTTTTTTTTACTTATGGAAAAAATTTAAACTGTCCAAAAGTCAATTAAAAAAAATTTTCCTTCCCAGCTCTTGTGACTGCATTGTTCTTTCGAGTCTCTTCTGACACTAATCGAGCGGCAGTGGTGATTTCAATAGTCTCGCACAGCTTAAGGGTAGTGAACACTGGTACAGGCCACAAAAAAAATCAAGAAATGGAAAAAAAAAGTTGGATTCACTATATTTCACTATCAACCTATTTTAACGTACAATCTTTGAAAGAGAAATCTCAAGGGGGAACACTTGCAAGGATGACCACCCAGCTTGAGCACAAGAGGGGCCAGGACCTCCCATGAACACCATCAATATTGCTGGTCCTCTAGTAAGAAGTGGGTAAAGAAGCAATCTTCAAGCACGTCGCTAATCTGTCGAGAAGAGTTGACTTTCTGCTACCGTTATAGTCTTATGCAGATCAAAGCCACCATGCTTCTGTAAGATAGAGAAATCGAAACATGCTGCGAATGCAGGTGCTCCCTTCAACAGTGGACGCGTCTGTCCATAGTGGATGCTGTAGTTGTACTGTGTTAAATCTATGCCAATAATTGTAACATACGTGTGAAGAAAGTATGATGTGGACAAAAAGACGACTCGCCTCCGTCAGGCGCCAGACCTGCAACTTTTGGATAACGTGCCCGATGCTCGGCCAACTGAGCTATGGCGGTGATCGTCCTCTCGTCCACATTATGTACGACCGGGTGATCGTCAGATTATGGCCACATTTAGGACTTTTACCCTTGGCATGTCCATATAATGTGGCATGCATCTGCTTGCATTACTGGAGCGGTCAATTTTACAGTCTGAACACTCTCATCTCCTGCAAGCCATCCTTCGCTACAGCGACACAATCGGTTACAGTGGCTGGATGCATGATAACACTTTCCACAAGAAAGTATATTTCATTTTATACCCAATAACGGCACACATTTAATACACATAAATGCATGTGTGCCGTAAAGGCAAGTCTGTGCTGCAATTTAAAAAAAAAAGAGGATGAGAGGCAGATTGCTGCCATGGTTCAAACAGTAAAGCGGGCGTATATCCGAGGGTTCCCATTTCGGTTCCTGCCGCCGGAATGTTCTCTTCTTGTACGCTTTTACTTTCTTAATTTTTATCATAATACAGTACACATAAAGTAGTACATCTGACTTATTCTCTTTCTTAAAACAGTGCAATTAACATTGTCTATACATTTCTTAAAGCTGTGCAGTTAACATTGTCTATATACGGAAGTAGCCAATTAGTTGGCAAAACAGGTGCGCGCAACTCGTCATTTGACAGGAAACGTTGACAGTGGGAGTGTGACCAGTCGAAATCGGCAGAACTCCACCATTACAGACACTCTGAAGCCAATGATGTCAATATTGAGAGAAACAGAAAGAAGCTAGGAGAGAGTAAACGCATGAAAAGGAGAGTCATCCATGGCTCTAAGCCGGCCTAAGCTCGCAAGGTTAGAAGTCGAAACTGTGCTGAGTGTTTTTTTTTTTTTTTTTTAAAGGAAGCATAGACTTTCAAACAGTCGAGAAAAGGCGAAGCAAGCTAAGAGTCGGGTGAACTTGGAAGTTGACATGCAGTCGCGTGGTATTCTACAGTGCTAACAAAGGGCAACAGAACCCCCTACTTGGAGATTGCGCAGCAGCCTAGCATGCTATGACAAAATTCAGTTTAAATGCAGATGCCGCACCACTCCCAACTGTATATTTACTTAAAACAAGTGATGATGAAGGAATCGTAAAAAAAAAAAAAAAAAAGGTCTGCGGTGCGGTCTCACTGGCACCAGCTGCCGGTAATGCCCTTCCTCACCAGAGTAGGATTGGCCATCCTGGTGCAGTATCTGGCCACAACCTCCCATAAATACAGCAATACATATATACAGACCTGGGACGTAGCGGAGGGTGCTAACAATCTGTGGGTCAGGACAGGGCCCCCATTGGAATCTGAACTTGGCTACCTTCAACGCTAGAACACTATCTAGTGAAGCTAGTCTAGTTGTGTTAATCGAGAAATCGGGTGTTAAATAGGATGTAATAAGGCTCAGGGGAAGTTAGAACATGTGAGGCTCATACAGTGCTGGACATGTGAGGCTCATGCTAATCCACGTCCTATGCTACCGTGGATTAGTTGACAGAAAAGAACTAGAGATGGGGTTTCTTATACACAAGAATATAGCTGGCAACATAGAGAATACTCTAACATGAGTGAGAGGGTGGCAAGTATCATAATTACGTTTAACAAAAGGCACAATATGGTCTTAAAGGCCTACGCACCTACATTGAGCCATGATGATCATTTGGTTGAACGCTCCTATTAAGACGTAGAGTCGGCCATTAATAAAGACACAGTATACTATGATGGGCGGCTTTAATGACAAAGTAGGCAAGAAACAAGCCGGAGACCATGCAGTGGGGGAACATGGCATTGGTCGAGAAATGCCAGAGGAGAGTTACCAGTAGAGTTCGCAGAACGCAATAATTTACAAATCTTAAATACTTTCTTTAGAAAATCGGCTAACTAAGTGGACGTGGCGAAGTTCTTTTGGCGAAAGTAAAAACTAAATAGACTTCATTCTGTGTGCGCACCCAGGCATTGTACAGGATGTAGAAGTAGTCGGCAAGATCCAATGCAGTGACCGTAGAATGAAAAGAGCTCGTATTCACCTAAATTTTAAAAAGCGGGTGCAAAAACCAATACGCAAGAAACCAATTATTGAACTAATGGTGAGAGGAAAAGTACTAGAATTCAAGTTTCACTTCAGAATAGATTCGAGACACTAAATGAGGTATCTGACGTTGGTGTTGACACAATGATCCTAATAGTATCTTCAAGTGTGCAATGAAAGTCAAAGATACAGTCAGTAGACAGGACGCTGGCAAACTATCTAAGGAGACGAAGATCTTATTTATAGATGACAAACCATGAAAGCATCAAATGCAACCAACAAAATAGAGCTCGTGGAGCTTTCGAAGTTAATCAATAGGTGTGAAGTAGCCGATGTCGGGAGGTATAACATGGAGGGAATTCAGCAGGCTGTAAAAAGCAGCAGAAGCCTAAAAGCTGCAAAGGCAAACAAGTGCATAGGCGAAAATCTGATTTATGCTGTAAAGAACAAGGAATTCGGTGTCATAACCAATGTGAATAGGATAGTCGAGGTGGGGGAGGAGTTCTACAGAGAAGCCAAAACAGCCAGGATAATGTTGTGAAGAACAATAATAGTCCAGAGGAATTTGACATCCTACCAGTAACAGCAGGGAAGTAAGGAAAGTCCTAAAAGGAATTCAAAAAGGCAAAGCCGCTGGCGAGGATAACAACGGACCTCCTTAAATATGGTGGAGAAACTGTGTTAGAAAAACTGGCCACCTTATGTACGAATTGTCTTTTGACGGGAAGGGTATCAGGATCTTGGAAGAATGCCAGCATCATCTTAATCCATAAGAAAGGAGATGTCAAGGACTTGTAAAATTACAGGCCAATCAGCTTACTGTCCATTCTCTACAAACTATATACAAAAGTAATAGCTAACACAATTAAGGTGACATTAAAGTTCACTCAGCCAAAGGAC